TGCTGTGCAGGAGAATGTCCAGGGCTGTGGTGCTGTGCAGGAGAATGTCCAGGAAGAGGCGAGCGAACTGGAAACCAAACGTCTGCAGGAACAGCCGTGGTCGGTGCTGATCAAGGAGGAGGAGGATTTGAATGACACGTCAGAGCCCATCGAGGTCCCACTGGAGAACGTGGTGAAAGTGGAGAGTGTAGCTCCGGAAGAGGAGACCGCGGGAGAGCTTGACGTCGTCGAGGAGAACGGGGATTTGGTGAAGACCGAGAGCGGGCCTGAAGACGCGGCCAGCTGCCAGGACTCGCAGGCCGGCAGGACACCAGAACCAGACAGGGGCGTGTTGCCGGTGGGCTCCACCTACACCGACGAGTTCAGCGCCGTGTACAAGGTCGTGCTCCAGGACAGCAACTCCATCTTCCGCGCGCTCGCGCAAGGGCTGTTCGACGACGAGAAGCACCACCTGGTGGTGAGAACCGGCGTCCTCAACCACGTCCTCAAGAACTGGGAGACCACCTACAGAGAGCTGACCGGCTTCGCCGACCCGGACTCGTACCGCAGCTACATGGAGCGTCTCGGCAGCGGTGGCGTCGTGGAGGCGCGCGCGGCCGGGGAGGGCTTCTACCGCACCGTGGCCATCGTGCAGAACGGCGTGCTGGAGGTGGCGACGCAGCAGAAGCGCAACCCCATCGTGCTGCGGAGGACCGGCGCGGACCACTACGACGCGTGCGTCACCCTGCCCCTGTACGGCTGGAAGGGCTCCACAGCGGACACCCGGAGGCTGCACGGCGATCCCAACGTGAGCGGACTTCAGGTGGGTGGACCCAACGGGAGCGGACTTCAGGTGGGTGGACCCAACGGGAGCGGACTCAAGATGGGCATACCAAACGGGAGCGGACCCAAGGTGGGCGGACCTAAGGTGGCCCGGGTGCGGGAACAACCCGCCCCGCGGACTCCGAAGTACTATGCTCCGCAAACAGGGGGCTGCGGTATGGTCATTGTGACTGAATTGACTGACCCACTAGCAGTCGCGACTTTGGGCCAACCTGAGGCGGCCCATTCTGCCCCACCCGACGACACCCTCACTGGAAATGAGCCTCTACGGCAAATGGGGACCAAACAGGAGACGCCGGAGCAGCGGGTGGCTGTGCCCGCCGAACTAGCGGAGAGCGACCGTGGCCCGGACACGGTGCAAGACGTCATTCCCTGCGTCATTCAGTCAGTCAGTGGTGCGGGGGTGGATTCTCAGAGAAGTGGAACATCAGTCAGTTGCGGCGGCGAGGAGGGGCTGGCCGTGCCCTCAGACCTCAACGACGAGTTTGGCGGCTTGTACAAGACCGTGCGCAGGGACGGCAACTGCGTCTTCCGCGCGCTCGCCGTGCTGCTGTTCGAGGACGAGAAGCAGCACCCGGTGGTGCGGCGTTTGGTGGTCAACCACGTCGTCAACAACTGGGCGACGCTCGCCCCGCTGACTCGCCCGCTGACCAGCTTCGCCGGCCCGGACGCGTACCGCGACCACATGAACCTGGACGGCGCCCGCGGCGGCGCGGCGGAGGTGCGCGCTGCCGGGGAGGCCTTCTACCGCACCATCGGCGTCGTGCACGACGGCGTGCTCGAGGTGGCCGCCCTCTCCACGACCGACGAAAACCCCGTAGTGCTGCGCAAGGTCGGGAAGGCGCCCGACGAGCACTACGACGCCTACATCACGCTGCCTCCACAGGGCTGGATGGGCGGCAAAGACGACCTCGTCAAGCTGGCCATTGTTGAAGTTGATAAGTCCGGTCCCGAGCAGCGCCTGCCAGGCCAGGAGGCTGCTCCTGTGCAACCGGAGCAGAGGACGGCGGAGATAGAGCACAACGTGCAGCCCGAGGTGAACCCAAACAGCTCAGCTCTCCCAGACAAGATGAAGAGTAAATCGGATGCAAAGAAACGGAGGGGCACGAGCTCTAAACGGAGCGTGAGTAAACCAGCGCGCCAGCAGGCTGCGTCCGAGTCGTCCGGGGAGGGCAGCTGGTGCCCAGAGAACCATCAGTCTGCGCTCGAATCATCCGAGGACAGCAGCGACGGGGGAGACGGGGAGCCGGTCAGCAGGTCCCGCACGAAGGCGCGGGCGCCGGCGCGGGCGCTGACGGCCAGGCTGCGCCAGAGGCGGGAGGCCGCCAGGAGGCAGGCGAGCGTGTACATCTGGGGCCGTATCCTCAACGAGACGGCAGACCAGCGCCAGGTCAGGGAGAAGAGACTAACAACCGACAAGAGGCGCGTGGCCAAGAGGCAGCGACAGCGGGAGGCCAGGGGCCAGCCACCCAATGAGACGTGTCCCTACCGCGGCCTGCTCCCGCGGGCTGCGAGGGCGGCGCCAAAGGGCGGGGAGACGCCAGAGGAGCGGGAGGCGAGAATGCAACAGAACCGCGAGTACCAGAGGTTTTGGTACGGAAGACCGAAGGCCGCTGCCGCCGCGAGGCCGAGTCCCCTGGGGCACCCGCCTCCCACCGCGAAGCCGGCGCCGCGCTCGGGGGAGACACCAGAGGAGCGCGAGGCGAGACTGCAGCTGAACAACGAGTACCACCGGTACTGGGCGCGCGTCAGGCGCCTGAAGGCGAGGGGTAGCGACGAGCCTGCCGCCGCCCTGGATGAGAAGCGAAAGGACCGCGCGCCGCGGCGGCGCTACCCGCTTCTCGAGGACCTGGAGGCCGAGAGGGAGGCCAGGCGGCAGAGGAAGCGCGAGAACGCCAGAGAGTACGCGCGGCGCCACAAGGACAGGCTCAACGAGCGCAGGCGCACGCTCGAGCAGCAGACGCGCGAGCAGGAGCTCGAGGCCCGGCGGCAGTGGAAGCTCGAGCACGCCACGGAGACCCCGGAGGAGGCCGCGGCCAGGCGGGCGAAGCGGAAGCGCGAGAACGACAGAGAGTACTCGCGAGAGTGGGCGAGGCGCAACAAGGACAGGATCAAAGCGCGCAGGCAGGCCGGGAAAGAGCCGGTGCCGCGCGTCAGTAGGAAGAAGCAGATGACCCCCGAGGAGGCCGCGGCCAAGCGGGAGCACAAGCGCGCCTACGGGAAGGAGTACGCGAGGCGAAACAAGGAGAGGCTCGCCCAGCGAAGGCGCGAGATCAACGCCAAGCGCGGGCCTCGCGTCATCCCGCCCGAGGAGGCGGAAGCGCGGCGGAAGTACGGAATCGCTTACTACAACAACAAGCAGTACCTCGCCCAGCAGAAGCCGGAGCTGGCCGAAGCGGAGCGGGAGCGGAAGCGCGCCTACAACCAGATGTGCCTGAAGCAGGACCAGGATAGGATCGCCGAGGCGAAGCGCAACCACGAGGCGATACCACCGGACATCGCGGCCAGGATGGAGCGGAAGCGCGCCTACAACCGGATGTACGCGCAGGCCAACAAGGCCAAAATAGCCGACCGGGTGTGGAGGCGCCGGAACAACATCGCCGACGGTCTAGAGGAGGGCGAGGACCCCCCTAGGAAAAAGAGGCCCTGGCGCAGGAAAGCGTCACCTGTGTCCGAGGCCGCGGCCACGTCGGGAGCCTCAGCGGTGTCCGAGGCCACGGCGGTGTCGGGGGCTGCGCCGACGCCCCTGTCGGCTGCGGGGTCGCAGGGTGACGGCGGCGGCGTGGACGTCCCCGAGGACGCGCCCCCCAGGCGGAGGAGCGGGAGAGCGCGGACCACCCGCTTCTTCTTGGACCCCGAGGACTCCGAGGACTCCATGTGAGAGAAAACGCGAAGTGCGAGGAGGGGACGTGCGAGCCGCGCGAGTCGCGAGGGAAGCTTAACATTTTTACGTCTTATTTTTTTTTCAGATCGAGCATCGCTGCTGTGTGCGTGACGTCTGCCCGCCCCCGCCCGTCCTGAGAATGCCGACGCGTCACAGGGAATTGGAGGTGAGTACGTCCGCACCAGGCGCCTGGCAGTTAGGCAACATCTTGTGTGGAGTGCGTGCGTGTACCGCGGGGGGGCCTACCCCGAGTCTCCCAGGCGCCGAGCTAGCGGAGCGAATCCTCAAATAAACGCTTTTTCTGGACTATTCCTCTTCGGGTCAACAAAGTAGTAGCAATAACACTACCTGAAGTTGACGCGTGGAAAGGAACAACCATGATTTGATGCGCTTTGCTACACTACTCTGAAGCAGCGTCTAATTAATTATTGTTTGTTTGTTTGTTTTCTGATCAGTTATCCTGTGCCAGCGGAATACGACCGACCATCTCTGCGTCCGGGACAGAGGGACCGTCGCGTCGATTTCAGTTGATGGTGATGGTATACCGGATTGTTGATGGCGAACCAAAGGGTGAGTTATTATATTACTGGATCACTGTTGATTTAAAACCTGCACTGTTGTAATGCTGCCATGCAAAACTCTAACTTCACCTTAAATTTGTTTCTCCAGATCAATGACATTAAATCTACATCTACAACTATGAATCGAAGAACAGTGTGACGCCAATGAGGGAAAAGAGGTGAGTGTGAAGTGTAAATGAATTGACCTCCTCTGGCATTCGAAAAGAGGATTTCCTCATCACTACATGCAGGACATTTTTAAGGCGGTAGGAGCGAGTTTGGGTTTTTTTCAGAAATCGGTAGTGTGTGATACGCTTATACACTACCTCGAACCGTTTTGCTCTCCGACGCTTAGTTTTGGCGTCGCGACGCCTCAAAGTTGGAATTTTTGACGACTTTGTGACATATTTTCGGCGAAACGGGAAAACGCACAGTTTTTAAACTTCACAGTGGGATAGTCAGATACTAGGCCTAGTGCGTGGTCTATTTTTCAAGATATTACATTGAATAGTTTTCGTCCTGGAACGCCTTGAAAGTAAGTAGTTTACAGGCCCTTATAGCAGCCAAACGGCTTAACATATGACGATGAAAAGTAGACCACGCACTAGATTCAACTTTGGTCTTTCTGATGAATTCGTCGGAAAGAATAAAAATTTTCGGGTCTGTTCAAAAATATGTCACAAGTAAACCCCTGTTTCGAACCGCCTGAGACCTTTAGAGAGAGACAGGCTGCAGCCGTCTTCGTCGCGCAGAGGGGGGAGCGGGAGGGGTGTGGGGGGCACCGTGAAACAAGAGGCGGGGTCGGCTGGGGCCCGGCCGGCTACCCGGACAGCCCCGACCGTAGCCCTCCGCCCACCCTCACAGCGGGGATGCCTCCGTGACGAATTACGGGCCAGATCGGCGTTCAACTATTTGAAGTACCGATCGTACAAAATTTTGCGTGGCACCATTGAATCGGCGAGGAACAGGTTAAGAAACCCTCCAAAAATCATTGTTTTATGATAATTTCTACAAAAACGAAAATGAAGAAGCCTGAACATACGGACCAATGAACAAGTGTAAGCTTGAACAAATGTTACTTGTATTTTACTACTTTCCCACTGGAAAGAACATGACCTCAAAGGCAGGAGTGGTGAGTATCAATCGGCATTTACTGATGTATTTTTGTACTCGTCACAAAACACCATCGTCATCTTTTGTTTGTTTTTCCTGTTTTAGGGAGTGCTGATCGGAGGGCTGTCCCTGAAGCCACTGCTTGTTGACACGCGTGTCTCATCTTGCGGTACTTGCGAGCCTTATGAGAAAAGGGGGGAAGAGCCCCCAGAACATGATTGCTACAGAAATTGGAAGGGAAGCGCCACATCAATGGAGCAGGATATAATAGTGAAGGGGTTCAACATAAGCGTTGAAACCCACAAACTAGAATACCGCTTTTACATTGGTGACGGCGACTCCAGCACGTACCCGCAAATTAGAGCAAGATGTCACTACGGCCACCGTGTCACGAAACTGCACTGCGCCAATCACGTGACGGTTCGACTCAGCGACCACTTGCACACCTTGCTGAAGAAAACTAAGGAATACCCCGTGGAGGCGCGCAATGCCCTCAAGACAGAGACAGAGAGCACGCTGGGGCAGAAGCAGACGCGAATCGAGCGGCTGGTGAAAGGCGTGCGAACGGCCATTCGGGTGTGTGGCGAAAACAATGACAGTGTGGAGAACCTCCAGAAGGCCCTGCAGAACGCGCCCTTCCACGCCTTTGGCCGGCACACCAACTGCGGCGACTGGTGCCCAAGAAAGAACTCCGCGGTGCCGGACAAGGACGAGGTGGACACGGCGAGGAAGGGGGGCCTCTTCCAGGCGATTCAGGCCCATGTCGACACGCTAATCCAGAAGAGTGACTCCCTCGTCCGCAACGTCACCACAAACGCCGCGGAGAACTTCATGTCGCTCGCGGCCAAAGCGAACGGCGGGAAGCGCATTCCTAACTGGAAGGGCGGTGGCTACACCTGGCGCATCATGTCTGCTACCATAAACTTCTCCGAGGGCCCTGGCTACCACAGCGCCGCCATGAAGGAGCACGCGGGCCTTGATGACACTCCTAAGCTCCTCAAAAAGTTCAGCAACAGTCGCAGCAGCCAATGGAAGAGGAGGCGGGAGTCCAGGGAGGCGGAGAAGGCCGCGGGAGAGCCGGCCAGCAAGAGGGGCCGCCGCCGGATGGGTGCGGGGCATGACAACGACTACGGCCCGCAGGCCGCTCTGACCAACGAGGAGAGGAAGAAGCTGCAGGAGGAGCTGGAAAAGGAGCGCCTTGAGCTGCACCCGGATATGCCCGAGGACGCCCTGGAGGCCGCCAAGAAGAAGGTGCTGGAGCACCTCGAACGGCAGGTGGACACCGAGGAGAAGAGAGCCCGGCTCCAGGGGCTGACGGGTCAGCACAAGAGCGCCGACTACCGCCAGGTACGCTACTATGCCCTTCTGCCCTCCTCAAAGTTCGGCAAGGTGGTGACTCGCCAGCCAGGCACCCCGTGCAACAGTCTGGTGTTGGACCTTGTTTACCCGTCGGTGGGGGATAAGAAGAGCGTGCCGATGCAGTACGGCATCGACCATGAGCAGACGGCCGTTGAGAAGTATGTTCATGATTGCGAGGTGAGTGAGCCCGTTGCAGAGTGCGGACTGTTCATCAACCCCAAATGGCCTTTCCTCGCCTCCACGCCGGACAGGCTGTTGGGGTCGGAAGGGCTAATTGAGGTGAAGTGTATATTCCCTGGCACTCTTGCTTCGCGGGGCGTCCACAATTTTCACAGTGCTGCTTCGCTGAAGGGCAAAGAGCGGAAAAGTATGAGTATATGTCTGGAAATTGTGGACGGTCAGCTGTGCTTCAAGCGCACTCACTTGTATTATTATCAAATCCAGGGGCAGCTAGCGATCACGGAGCGCCAGTACTGCATGGCAGTCGTGTTCACTGACTCCTCCTTGGTTGATAATTGGAAAGGGCAGAAGGTGGAGGACTTCTATGTCGAGAAAATAGAGCGCGATGACAAGTTTTGGCAGGAAACAATGCTGCCTAAGCTGTCGAGGTTTTACATGGACTGCATGCTGGTCGAAATTTGTCTCCGGCGCAAAAACCGAGGGATAAAATGCAGAGATCCGGACTGGATCAAGCCGAAAAAGACAAAACAGCAGGGGCAGCAGCAGTAACATGTACACGCGCACCTACCACCTTCTTCCCTTTTGATATGAGTGTTTACGCTTGTGGAAACGTTCAGTGTCGTATTGGTAGTTTCTTTGCTCGTGCTGGTGTGTGCGGGTCTGCCTACTCCTTCCGGCCGTACACAAGCCTGCATCACTCCAGCGAGTGCAAAAGAACTACCGTTACCTACCTCAAGTAGTCAACTTACTTGTCAATGGTCGGCCAGCTGTATGTCTTTGTAAATTGTTAATATGAGTTGTAAATTGTAATGATCCAAATGCATCTTGTATATTTGTATATTTTCTTATATGTGGTGTGAGTGAGTGAGTGAGTGAGTGAGTGAGTAGTTTTATCGACTAGTTTATTGTTTGTCTTCCAAATGCTGCTGATCTGGGGCTGAAAGAAGGGGGAAAGGGGGGTGGGGAGTCAGCTGATGGTACAAAATAAAAGGACTGTAAACATTTATTTTTGTATGATAATATTTTTGTATGATAATGTGTGATTGGTTACTGGTGTCAAATCTTCTCTATTTCGTGGAAAACTGAGTAGTAGAAAATTACAAATAAATTGTTTTTGCACAATTACTGTCTTTTTTAGTTTAGACTGTTGGTTCATGTTCGATTAGTGCACGTCTTTTCAGCCAAACGGCATGCGCACGTGACAGCCGGGACGCAGGCAGTAGTGATACCGGCAAAGGTCGCTGTTTAGTTTTTTCACCTAAACTGCAATGGTTACAAATTGTCAAAAATTTGCCAAATTTTACGGTTGGGTAACTATTTGAGCGGTTACGAACGGCAGACCCACTTTCATTCAGACTACTGTTTCGCTAGTCTATTGTCAAAACAGAGTCAGAGAAAAGAGAGGGTGGGGTGAGGAGGAGGGGGCCTCTGGGGGCGCGGTGCTCGGCTCGCACAGGGGGGCCATGTGGCGACCGGAACGAAACGGGCTGACTGGAGAAAATGACGAACCCACCTGGCTTCTTCCAGGCTTGATAGGCTTCCAGCATGCACGGCATCAATTTCTTGAGAATCTGGCAGTCTCCTTGAAACCAAGAATGAAAATTCTACGATAATTCTAACGGATTTTATAGTTGTACTTTTCGGGACTTAGTCGCCGGAGAGGCCAAGGCAGAGCTGGCCCGGAGCTCGGAAAGAGACAGAACGCGTCGAGGCAGACCCCGGCCCGGGTCCTCGCCAACATCTGGGATTTGTCACGCCTCCTGGACGGTGCCGTCCCGCCTCCCCCGCACCCGCCCGCACCCCGCAGGGCCTGCCCGACACTTCGGACGTGTTCGACGCATTTAATACGCAGCCATTCCCGGACTGGCCGTGTGCTCCTACCGCCTTAATGTCGGTCCCCTTCTCTTTCAGAACGACGTCCCTGCCGAGTCTCTTCCCCTGCCTATTTGAGTTCAAGATGCAGCCCAGCCCAGGGACGAACTGAACCCGAAGCTGACCCGACGACCTGGATGTTCTTACCGGACGCGATCGGGGCGTCTGTTTCCGTCGGGGTGGTGGGTGACAAGAAGTCCATCTGCACTTAAAATTAAGACCTTTCATGTGTTCTGTATGCAATTTAAACCAACCGACCCTAAGCATAGGATCACTCGATTATTTGTTTATTTATGTAAATTTTTATTTTTGTACATTATATATAGTTTTGCATATCATATCGCTTGCTTACCCTCACCTTCTTAATCCTTTCGCAGCCTCTTAGATGAGAACCAGAGCTCTATAAATATCAAAGAACAACATAGTTTCAATGGAAAGCAGTCACCCCATCGAATATTCTCCAAGTACAGTTACGTTTATGGTCCACTCCTGTGAGCAAACTTTTGCTTTTCTGACCAAAATTAGGCCGGCGATCGGCGCCGGTCGAGCACTAACTTAGAGAGCCCAACCCCGAGCAGCGAGCAATGCTATGCGCTTCGCCTCGAGAGGGCTTAGCAGTGGGTAGTCCCTCTGGGTAGTCCCGCAGGGTTGCCAGAGCGATCGGATTTTGCTCCCAGCTACCCTGTGAAAAATGGCCGTCAAACCGATATAGAAACGACATTGTTTCGACACCTCTTTGATCGTTTCGACAATGCGTCGGTATCGCTTCGACATTCCGTTTCTCACTGGGCGGGCAGCGATTTTAGTGTGCCAAGGCGCATGTTTTCGGCACGAGTGCGCCCGAGCGACACCCAGACAATTCTTAATGATTTGACAAACAGCCGGACCAATCCTTGGCCGATCGAACCTAGAAAGTTAAACGGTAACACTTTTACCTTTGGATGGACCAATAATAAGAGAACTGTCAGAAAAGTATTCGAAAATTGGCATGGTCTAGTCTGAAAGTAACGGATTGGGTGTTGAATGGTTCGGGGACTGGTCCTCCGGTCCTCCGCCCCATCCGCCCTCCGGATTCCGACCACCGACCGTCAGCTGATCAGCTGACTGGGCGGGCGAAGGCAACACTGCCCCGCGCCCCGCCCCTCCCCTCCCCC